GAAGTGTTCAAAACTAAAATAAAGTGAAAATGTCTGGTCGTGGTAAAGGTGGCAAAGTTAAGGGAAAGGCAAAGTCCCGTTCCAATCGTGCTGGTCTTCAATTCCCCGTCGGTCGTATCCATCGTCTGTTGCGCAAAGGCAACTATGCTGAGCGTGTTGGTGCCGGTGCTCCCGTCTATTTAGCCGCTGTCATGGAATATTTGGCTGCTGAAGTCTTGGAATTGGCTGGCAATGCTGCCCGTGACAACAAGAAGACTCGTATCATTCCCCGTCACTTGCAATTGGCCATCCGTAACGACGAAGAATTGAACAAATTGCTGTCTGGCGTTACCATTGCCCAAGGTGGTGTATTGCCAAACATCCAAGCTGTTCTCTTGCCCAAGAAGACCGAAAAGAAAGCCTAAATTATTTCGAAAGGTATTATGGAATGAAAAAAGAAGAAGAATACAGACCATCGTATAAATTCCATAGAAAAATCAACCAATCCGTCCTTTTCAGGACGACAAAAAATATTTGAAAAGAGAAAGAAAATTGCGTCAAGCTACATTTGTATGAAAAAAATAAAAATTCTCAATAATTTTGTATGAGACGTTGGCAGAATAACTGTTTTTCGTTGTCAGTTGGATATTTGTGTTGTCGTCGTTGTTGTTGTCTCTTATGATTTCAGGAATAGAGCGAGCGAGAGAGGAGAGATCGTGGCGTCACCAAATGAGTATGTATACTATGAGGAAGAAGAAGCATGTGGCAGTTGGTGGTGGCTGGCTGGGTAGTAATTTTATGTGAAAAAATCGTACCCCGGCGCATTCTTTGGGGAAGGCATAAAGTAGATGATTTGCAAGGGAATTTTGGCGGCAAAGTAGTGTTTTGGTGGAAATAAATGGACACATACATGAAAATAAAAGCGCATTGTGGTGCTATGGAAAATTTTAAACACAAAAAATAGAATAAAAGTAAAATAATGAAATGAAAATTAACGAAAATAATTAAATTAAATTAAAATAAGAAAATTTCAGAAAATAAAGGCAAATATTAATGAAATTTCAAAGAAATTTAAATGAAAATATTTGAAAATAATTTAAAGAAATTTGGAATAATAAACACATTTTATGAAAATAAAAGATACTTTAAATGAAATCAAAAATTTTTAAATTGATGAAAAGGAAATAAATTAAATAATTTTAAATTAATAATAATAATAATTTTAAATAAAACGAAAATGTGATTTTTAAAAAATAATGTAATGAAAAATTAAATTAATTGAAAATTAAATAAGAAAATTTAACATAAATAAAATAAAATTCATTTAATGAAGAACTTTTAAATAAAATTCAATGATTTTAATTTTCGGTAAAATTTTAAAGGAAATGATTAGTGAAAAATTTACAAATTTTTAATGAAATTTTTCGAAATAAAATAAATCAACGATCTATTTAATAAATATTTTCAACAATTTCAAATTAAATTTTGAGAAAACATTCAACAATGTTTAAAAAAAAAGTCAAAATGAAATTACTTTGCTACCACAGCATGGTCGTTCTTTAGTAATATCGACTAAATAATACCAATACATACATAAAGCGACGCTATGTTATACTCATATTATACGAAGAGGAAGAAGAAGAAGAAGTAAATGTGTTTAGCGATGTGAGTTGCCGACGGCATGTTTATGATCGGGAATAAAATAAGAGACATCGGTAAAAGAAGGCTTTCGGTGAAAATATTCTGGAGAAAATAGAAACGAGTAAGTATTTATATTTTTTTTATTTGATTTTTCACGACTTGTGAGAAAAAAATACGAGAAAGCTGAAAAAGAAAATTATTAGAAATTTTGACATAAAATCCCTATATTTCCTAAGGTAAGTGTTTATTTTTTATTTATTTTAATTTTAAAAAAAATAGTTTTCAACAAGAAAGTATCTCTTTTTTGATATATTTTGTGGTCCTGAAAAGGACCGATTGTTTTGTTGTAAAAAATATTTCTCCAAATTGCGTCAAGAATTTGTTTAACCGCCGAAACCGTACAAGGTACGGCCTTGTCTCTTCAAAGCATATACGACATCCATAGCGGTGACGGTTTTACGCTTAGCATGTTCGGTGTAGGTGACAGCATCACGAATAACGTTTTCCAAAAACACCTTCAGAACACCACGAGTTTCTTCGTAAATCAGGCCAGAGATACGTTTTACACCGCCACGACGAGCCAAACGTCTAATAGCTGGCTTGGTAATACCTTGGATGTTATCACGGAGCACTTTCCTGTGACGTTTAGCGCCACCTTTTCCCAAGCCTTTACCACCTTTACCACGACCAGTCATTTTTTCACTTTAGTTTATTTCACTTATCACTTCACGAACAGTTTGAGCACTAATGTTTTTTTCGGGCGATTCCGCTCGTATTTATACAAAATTTGAGGCTCTCTCCAACTATTGAACACACAAGTAAAGTATGTACAGTTATATGTGTGTGTGTACATTTGCCGTTAGTATTGTATGTTCTCTTTTGTGTGTGCGTGTACATTTGGTATACGGATAGGTAAGAATTCACTAACATATCAACCCCGAAAGTTGATGCTAACAGCACAATTTTCTATAAATACTCGTTTTCGTGGCGATGGCAACGTTATTACAGTGTCTACCGTGTTTGTGTGCATATCTCTAGTGAAGTGAAAAAAATTCAAGTGAAAAATGGCTCGTACTAAGCAAACTGCCCGTAAATCGACCGGTGGAAAGGCTCCCCGTAAACAACTAGCTACCAAAGCTGCCCGTAAGAGTGCCCCAGCCACCGGCGGTGTTAAGAAGCCTCATCGTTTCCGTCCTGGTACAGTTGCTTTGCGTGAAATCCGTCGTTACCAGAAGAGTACTGAATTGTTGATCCGCAAATTGCCCTTCCAACGTTTGGTTCGTGAAATCGCTCAAGATTTCAAAACTGACTTGCGTTTCCAGAGCTCTGCTGTTATGGCCTTGCAAGAAGCCAGTGAAGCCTACTTGGTTGGTCTTTTCGAAGATACTAACTTGTGCGCCATCCATGCTAAGCGTGTCACCATCATGCCTAAGGATATCCAATTGGCCAGACGTATTCGTGGAGAACGTGCTTAAATTCTTGACGTTTTAAAAGCAACAATTTTACAACAAAACAATCGGTCCTTTTCAGGACCACAAATATTTTATAAAAAAGAGATATTTTTTTACTCAATCTACAATTTTTAGTATTTTTTTGAAATAAATAAAAATAATTTAGGGCTATGATTATTTTTCAACAATTAACATTTTTTATAATAAGATATATTTTTTGATGTTGTTTTTTTTTTCGTTGATGATTTTTCGACACTTTATTTTTTTATTTAATTTTTTTATTTTATTTTGATCGAATATTTTATTTTTTTAATTTTATTTGAATTTTTTGAATTATCCATTTTGATATTTTCCTTTAATTTGCAAAATTATTATCATTTTTGTACTCCCTCTTCGAAAAAAATGCTATGACTCATAAAAACAACCACCACATACATTTTGCTAACGGGATTTTTTTTTGTCCATTTTGTTTTTTTCCTTTTCCCGTTAAACAAAAAATTGCTCTCTTTATGATTTTTGGCGCGAAATTTGTCTATTTCTCTCATTTTATTCCCCTTCGATCATTTTTTTCTGTTGTGGACTATTCAATTTAACGGGAAAAAATTCTCTGCCTTAATTTCTAAGAATTATTTCATGTGCATTTTAAAAATTTCCAGCTAAAATGTGCCCCACGTATTTAATTTTTTTCAGGAATGATGTATGAAATATGTTTTATTCCTTTTCAGCAACATTTTTAAATGTTTTAAACGCATTTTAAGAGATTTGTTTATGAATTTTCTCCGTATGGATTTACAAAATTATTTTTGCCCGATGTATTTGAAGAAATTGGTAATAATTTATTATTTTCAAAAATTGAAGAAGAAAATAATTGATTTGTTGATAATTTTGATGTAAAATATAATTAAAAGTATTATAAAAAGGAATTCCAATAATATCTACCTTTGAAGTTGATCGAAAATCATTTTTGTAAAACGCAATTAATTTCATGTCATTTCCAAGTGTTCTAGGTGATATTTGCCTGTAAAGAGGAATTTCTTTTTGGGAATATTTTTCATAAAATTATCAAAAATTGACAAAATGACGTAGAAAATGGCTTCTAATACTATTTTTATAAATTTTAGAACAAATTATGTTAAATTTCATAAAAAATATTGCAAAATGAAAATACATAACCGTTTGTCACTGAATGCCTGTACATTGGTAGTATGAAGTATTCTGGGGATTTTGTAACTTTTCCCCGTAAATTATGACTTTTTGTGAATAATGTTATATTTGATGTAAATATACAAATTCTGAAATGTTTTTTAAGAAATTTTTATAAAACTTATTAAGATTTGAGCTTTCAAATTTATTTCAAGAAAAACTTTTCTTCATTGAAATTATGCCAACAAGAGGATTTCTGCTGTCATAGACCACATAATAATTTCAATTTTTTCACATAGTAAAATATGAAATTTCATCGATATTTTTCTTTGATCCTAAAGTAAACATATCAGGCTACATTTTCAAAAAGAATTTTCAATTAAATTTTCATAAAAAATTTGATTTTTTTAAATTTTAGTTGGAAATTTGTGATTACATTTTTATAATCTGCCAAGTTAAACGTTTATAATTCACAAACGGCAAGTGATAATTACACCAAACTTTCTTTAAAACATAGCCTGAAATCTATACTTTAAAGGTATAAAACATTTTTAGTGAAAATTATCAAAGCTTCTTCAGGAAAATTTAATTTCTCCGAAAACTTTTGTAAAAAATTAAACACGCTTCCACACAATCTTTCGAAAAATTTACCAATTGACTACTATGCACATCTCATCTTTTCGATGTACCTACACTTTAGCTCGCCGCTAACAAAAATAATAGTACACATAAATTTGTGAGTGTATTTGTGTTAACAGTGAAATATAAACCAAACAGTGAATAACCATGTCTGACGCCGCCGTTGTTGAAGCCACCGCCTCCCCAGTTGCCGCTGTTGAGAAAAAGGCACCAAAAAAAGCCGCTGCCAAAGCAAAGAAGCCATCAGCTGCCCCTACCCACCCTCCAACCCAGCAAATGGTTGATGCCGCCATCAAGACCCTGAAGGAACGTGGAGGTTCATCATTGCCCGCCATCAAGAAATACTTGGCCAGCACCTACAAAGTAGATGCCCAAAAATTGGCCCCCTTCATCAAGAAGTACTTGAAAGGTGCCGTTGCCAGTGGAAAATGATCCAAACTAAAGGTAAGGGTGCTTCTGGTTCATTCAAATGGTCTGCTTCGGCCTCTAAGGAAGTATTCTGGGGATTTTGTAACTTTTCCCCGTAAATTATGACTTTTTGTGAATAATGTTATATTTTGATGTAAATATACAAATTCTGAAATTTTTTTAAGAAATTTTTATAAAACTTATTAAGATTTGAGCTTTCAAATTTATTTCAAGAAAAACTTTTCTTCATTGAAATTATGCCAACAAGAGGCTTTTCTGCTGTCATAGACCACATAATAATTTCAATTTTTTCACATAGTAAAATATGAATTGCCTCAATATTTTTCTGTGATCCTAAAGTAAACATTATCAGGCTACATTTTCAAAAAGAATTTTCAATTAAATTTTCGTAAAAAAATTTGATTTGTTTTAAATTTTAGTTGGAAATTTGTGATTACATTTTATAATCTGCCAAGTTAAACGTTTATAATTCACAAACGGCAAGTGATAATTACACCAACCTTTCTTTAAAACATAGCCTGAAATCTATACTTTAAAGGTATAAAACATTTTTAGTGAAAATTATCAAAGCTTCTTCAGGAAAATTTAATTTCTCCGAAAACTTTGTAAAAAATTAAACACGCTTCCACACAATCTTTCGAAAAATTTACCAATTGACTACTATGCACATCTCATCTTTTCGATGTACCTACACTTTAGCTCGCCGCTAACAAAATAATAGTACACATAAATTTGTGAGTGTATTGTGTTAACAGTGAAATATAAACCAAACAGTGAATAACCATGTCTGACGCCGCCGTTGTTGAAGCCACCGCCTCCCCAGTTGCCGCTGTTGAGAAAAAGGCACCAAAAAAAGCCGCTGCCAAAGCAAAGAAGCCATCAGCTGCCCCTACCCACCCTCCAACCCAGCAAATGGTTGATGCCGCCATCAAGACCCTGAAGGAACGTGGAGGTTCATCATTGCCCGCCATCAAGAAATACTTGGCCAGCACCTACAAAGTAGATGCCCAAAAATTGGCCCCCTTCATCAAGAAGTACTTGAAAGGTGCCGTTGCCAGTGGAAAATTGATCCAAACTAAAGGTAAGGGTGCTTCTGGTTCATTCAAATTGTCTGCTTCGGCCTCTAAGGAACCCAAAGCTAAGACTGCTGAAAAGAAGAAGAAGGCCCCAGCCGCTGGTGACAAAAAGAAGAAGGCTGCCGCCCCTAAAAAGGCCGCTGGTGAGAAGAAGGCAGCTGCCAAAAAACCCTCTGCCGCCAAGAAGACCGCTGAAAAGAAGAAGGCCGACAAAACAAAGGCAAAGGCTGCCAAGAAAACCGGTACAGTTAAAGCTAAACCAGCAAAGACCGCCGCCAAAGCATCTGCCACTAAACCAAAGGCACCCAAGGCAAAAACTGCAGCTGCTAAGCCCAAAAAGGCCGCAGCAGCAAAGAAGCCAGCTGCTAAGAAAACCGCCGCCAAGAAGTAATTTTTCCCAGAAAGATTACTTTTTCCACAATATTTTCGATATTCGAAAACATACTATCTAACAGCCCTTTTCAGGGCTACAAATTAAATTAAAAAAGAGAAAAATATTTTCAACAGTTATCGTATATATTTTGTTACCTAAATAATAAGTAAATTTGTACACGTGTTTGATTTTGGGAAAAAAAATTACTTTCGCTAATTACTGTTCTTATTAGGTAATTTTATTGAGCCAATATAATCGATGGACGCCACTGGATTATTTTTAACCCAGGTCATAAAAGATAATAAAATATTTAAATTTTTCCTAATTACCCACAGGTCATAATTCTCGAAAATCCCCATAATTTGGTCAATTTTATAATTTCTACTTAATTTTGAAAATTTGTCATTTTCATATTCTCTGTCAAATTTCACAAATTTCATCCCAGAAATGACATTTTGGCAAAATATTTACATTTTCCATCAATATATTTTTCCTTTGAAAATTTCTGCCTCAGCCTTATATTTCGTTGCTTTGCCGTTGTGCTGTAACAAAATGCTCACACATACATGATGCCCATTCGATGTTGATCAACGACGGCAAGGCAAATCACCACTAACACACGCACACATACACGACGACGATGGCTGTTATAGCATATCGCACAAGCAAGCAAGCAAAGGTTACACATAGGCACATATGCGAGTTAGCTAAATGCATGGAAAAATCATTGTATAGAGAAAAATATATTTCTTATGGAATTTTATTCGTTTATTACTAAATAATGATAAATTGTAGCTTCAACAAAAATATGATCTCTTTTGAAATGTTTTTTGTGGCCCTGAAAAGGGCCTTTTAAGGTAGTATTTCGACGCATGAAAATGAAAAATATCAAGACATTTACTTGGAGCTGGTGTATTTAGTAACAGCCTTGGTACCTTCACTGACGGCGTGCTTAGCCAATTCACCGGGCAACAATAGACGGACGGCGGTCTGGATTTCCCGACTGGTGATGGTCGAGCGCTTGTTGTAGTGGGCCAAACGAGAGGCTTCGGCGGCAATACGTTCGAAGATATCGTTGACGAAACTGTTCATGATGCTCATGGCCTTGGAGGAGATACCGGTGTCGGGATGGACTTGCTTCAACACTTTGTAAATGTAGATAGCGTAACTCTCCTTACGCTTGGTACGTCTCTTCGACTTATCGCCCTTGGTAATGTTCTTTTGGGCTTTGCCGGCCTTCTTTGCTGCTTTACCACTGGTTTTAGGAGGCATTTTCACTTATTATTTTTTTGAATCACACAAACACTTTTAACACTGTTCACAAATGATAACCAAAACCATTTACCATTTACCATTTTAAAATAACCATTTATTTAATTCATTTCATTGGTTTACAAAAATACTTAACGGTTAAAGTATGTGATAGTGATAAATTCCATTTACTCTAAGTATTTAATTATACATGTTATAGAGTCTACCATAAATAGTTTTTATTACTGCATATACATGCTTAGAATTTAATTCTTTACATTTAAGTTAATAATTTGTTTTTGTTTTGCCCAAAAAATTACAAAAAGGGGCTAATGTTTATAAATTTATGTTATCTTACAACTAAAATACTTAATATCTAAACTTAAAACTAACTATATACAATATTTACATAATTATTGATCCATTATATATACTGGATTTAGTGCAGGGTCATATTGATTATATCTCCTGTGGTAATAAATAAGTTTATTATTGGCAAATAATAGACCTTCCTCTTGTAACTTCAATAGAGCCACGGGTGGTAAGTGTTTTCGTCTTAGCAAAACATCTATGTTTTCAACATTATCAATGAAGTTTCTTATAATGCTGTTATCATTCGATTGACATTTGTCTAGAAATTTAATGGCTAGATTTACCATAAAAACATCTATCCTTTGAAACGTTATGGCATCATATATTGATTTACTGGTTGGATGTCTAAATTCCCCATTGTCATTAACAATGGGTTTTAGGCCCAGTGCCATAACAAGAATTTTTCTTTCAAATCGTCTTATCCTTTCCATTTGTGCAGATGATATATCTGCCCAAGCAGGGAAGGAATAAGAGATTGTAGGCCTTATTATCTGGCGATATATTAGGAGCTTGACTTGGGATGTGAGTCCATTTCTAGCCCTAAAAATTTTAGTATACGCCGTATAAATTTTTTTAGCTTTATTTAGGACGTGATCTATGTGCCTACAAAAGTCAAAGTTTTTGTTGTAGACAACTCCTAAATATTTTATTTTGTCTGATGGGCTAATTATGTCATTGCCCACTTTAATTGCTGGTGTGTACCTTCTTAGTCCAGGAAAGCATGCCCTATGCTTTCCATGTAACACGATGGATACACATTTTTGAACATTTAATTTAAGTCCCCATTTGTTAAAATATGAATATAATTCGTTCATGTAGATATTTAATTTTCGCTCTAATGTGTGTCCAAAACGCCCTCGCAATGCCAATAACACATCATCTGCGTAAGTCAATAGCAAAGCTCCTTCAGGTGGCGAAGGGATGTCACTGATGAAGATGTTGTACAGGACCGGTCCCAAGCAGTGATCCTTGTGGAACACCTGCTTGGACTAATCGTTGCGCAGACATACTGTCACCAACTCTAACCTTATATGTCCTTTCCCTCAGAAAACTTGCAATCATTCTGCATATTTGTGTGCCAAAACCAAATGTTTTCAGTTTGTATATTACACCATTCTGCCACACGGTGTCAAAAGCCTTCGCAAAGTCGAGACCTACAGCCATTGTGCCCATTCTTCTCCTGTATCCATCCGTAACGTAATTCGTAAATGCAGCTAATGCATGTACGGTGGAATGATTTGGTCTGAAGCCAAATTGGAAATTTTTTAGGATATTTCTGTCTTCAATTATATTTTTGATTTTTTCCAAAAGAAAATATTCAAACAATTTACCAAATGGAGACAGGAGAGAAATGGGTCTATAATTACGGCACATTTTTTTGTCTGAATTTGGTTTATGTATCGGAATAACCAAAGCATTTTTCCATGCATTTGGAAAATATCCGATATTTAGGCTGTGGTTAAATAATATTGTTATGAATATTAATATGGCATTTCCCGCTCTTTTCACTGCCACATCTGGAATCTCGTCGATTCCACAAGATTTTTTTGAGGGTCTTTTCATTATTGCTGCCCCAACTTTTGAAGGATCAACGAAACCACCTTCATGCCAGCAGGCTGCATTGCTAACCACTGACCCATCAGCCGCAAAATCATTGCCAAATTCCACCAGAGGTGTCGCATCTTCAACCCCTTCAACTACCTCATTTATGAGACTGGAAAAGGAGTCAGGAGATGTATCATCCTCAATATGGTGTGCATTTTGCAGATGATGGGCAATTAATTCGGCTTTAGCAGTATCATTCGTTATCTGCTCGCCGCTGGCATCAGTAAGAACCTCTATTGATTCCCTAACAGCAATACCTGCAGCCCTTTTAACTTTACCATATGTGGCCGAATTTACCCTTATGTTTTCTAGCGTATTTTTATACC